GGAACCAGGATTGTTCTCGTCGATCTTAAAAGCCCTCCGCGACGTGGTCATGTCCTCCGGCCTCTGCCAACAGTAATGATCCGTGTCCCCGTCCCCAACCTGTCGGATCGAATTCCATGAACGTATCCATCAATTACCATCCGCAATAATATCGTCTACTATATAGTCCGAACAAATATTAAAATTTCAACATTTGATACAGTGAGCCCGGTGTCCCATCACCCCATTTATAACCAAATTCGGTAACATATGCATCCGAAATGATCGCTATAATATCTATTGAAATTTAAAGGGAGATCAAAAAAATAATATTAAATCAAATCGCAATAAAACCGATCGCCCATATAATAATAATAATAATAATAAGAATAATAATAATAGAAAAAGAAAGAGATCGTACCTCGGCCCAAAGAACATTGGGGCTGGTATGAGCCTTGATGAAGTAATCGGTGCCCCATTTGATGGCATCGAGGGAGTGAGTCAACTCGCCGGCGGAGGAGAGCGAGTCACCGTACTCGATGACGCTCCAAGAGAGCATAGTCACCGTGAAGGCCATCGGCAGCCCGAACTTCACGTGGTCTCCGGCATCATGATATCCCCCCACCAAATCCACCTTTTTTCATTTTCAATTTCAACCCCAACATTATTACTTTATATCACAATCACCCAAAAACAATATCTGTCAACATCATATGCTTAAATCAGCAATTACTTTTCTGATTTTATTCGTTAGTGGACTAATGCAGCTGTTAATTATGTTTCAAATGTTGAAGACATGTTTCGGATCGCGACAGAATATGAAAAGATGGGATCTTTGACATTTTCTTTTAACTCGGTTACTATTATGAGACAATACTATGTTTGAAATCGAATTTCGAAACTGTCGATGTATACGAATCCGTATTCAAAAAATGAAATAGTTACAAACCATTAGAAAAATGGACTGGTTTCACACTTTCTTATAACAAAAAATAAAAAAGAGATAATTCAAAAATTAAAACATACTGTAAGCTTTTTGTTTTCATATGTTCAAATTTTGAAAATTAATAAATTACAAAAAAAAAAGATATATGAAAAAATAATTTCGCAAAAAGATAGAAGGGAAAATGGAACAACATACCCCTTGTTCGAGGCCGTCGGTGAGGCCGGAGTGGTCGCGCCACGTCACCCGCTGGTTATACGGAAGCCGACCGGACCTCTGCGCCTCGAAGTACAGTAAGCTCTTCGTCAATGCCTCGCCGTAGTCGTAGCCCCCGCTGTCCTCCGCCGCAACAGTCACCGGAGCTCCGACGAACGCCCCGGCGGAGATGAGAAGAGCAACAGAAAGAATGAGAAAATGACGCCGACGGTTTGGCGCGAACCGTCTGCGTCGGTGCTCCTCCTCCGCCATTGTATACTTTCGACGATCTCTCTCTCTCTCTCTCTCTCTCTGTTTCTCTCTGTTCGAGGTGCAGAGAGATCTCTCCTCTCTCCCTCTCTCTCTCTCTCTCTCTCTCTGGTTACGTATTTGAAAATGTGGATTTAAGGAGAGAGACGCGAGGTTTTTTTTGGAAGGGTGAAAGATTCACATGAAAATGTGGAACTTTTACTTTCCACATTATACGGTCGATGGAGTGGCAGTGACCGTGATTTATGCAGCCACTTATTGCTTTTGTTGTGCTCGTTTTTTGGCCGCTATTCCCAATTTTCCCACCATTATTTTAACATATATTTAATCAAATTTATATTATATATATACATATATAATCATATGAAGCTTTAAGAAAATAATCGTATAGAGCTCCAAGTAATTGATATATATACACATTACCATGCTTATGGTCGATGATATGCACATTATTAGGATTCTATTGAAATGGAAATGTAAGGGAAAAAAACAATATTAAATTAGTGGACTAACAAATATAATTATATTCTATTTTTTTATTTAAAAAATGGATTTAAAAGCAAGGGGAGTCAGTTGAACTGGGTGTTACGGTTGAGAGAATAGGAGAGGACCCCAACACCATCTAAGATTCTCCTATCAATTTAAAGCTCCAATTATTAATTACGAGTTCCCCATGAAATGGCCCCCTTCATTAGGATACTAATCATGGCTAATTTATTGTGATAATGATGCGATTTCAAATTTAAAAAACCGGATACATGGGATGATTAAACTGTCCATGAATAATTCCTTTTGAAAAAAAATATTAGAGAAATTTTATAATTTGCTTTAAAATTATCAAATTTTGCTTTATTCAGCAATAATTATTAATTTGCCTACTCTCTTCTGCTGTTTGTAAATATTATTAGAAGTAAAATTAAAATCGATTTTATGAATTGGAACAAGGAAATTAAATAGAATAATATCTTTTCGATTTTGTGTTCTAGAGTTGATAGCACCGACATTGGTTTAACTGCAAGCCAAATGCCTAAACCGGAGCAAACCAATATCGATATTTATTTTTGTTTTTTATTTTATTATGATTCGTTTGGTAAACTTATAGGAAAAACTCCTTTCGTTTCATCTCTATGTTGGATAATTAATTTTGTAAACATCCATAGTAAATTGCTAGTACTTAAGAATTTTAAACTCATATATATATATATATATATATGAAGAAAAATATGATTATTTGTAAAGGTTTAAAGTTATTTAAGTTACGGTAGTAATATGCAAAAGTGGTCCCGGATACACATGCCCTAACATTATCCATCACACGTATGCGAATTCGAAGATATGAATGGACTGACCAAATCATATTTAAGAGTTAGTGTAAATTTGATGATTGCTTT